GGGTTTCTATATAACTATAATAAGGAGACTAACAGTTTAACTTTTTGGAGGGGTTCAGAAGTCAGCCAAGGTTACCTGGGCGAGCCAGCAGCTTATGTCGGTTCCTTGGGCAACGTCAGGAATCTTCTTTCCATCTTGCGAAATCTCGTGGTTTAGGGTTTAGGTTCCTTTTTATGTATCAAAAAAAGGGAGCCTTCAAATAAATCCTCTTTCCTTTCCTGGCACGGGCCCGAGGCGATCTCTGAAGAGGACTATGACGGTGTCCTGTCAGCCCTTGAGGCACCTGCAGACCCCAATGCTCAGTACACCCTTGACGCCTCCAACACCAGGAAGATCCTGTCGCCCTTGGTCGTGGCCTGCGCTGTGAGCCTGGGTCCCCCATGTAACACCTACCCATAGGCTCCGTAGTAGTTCCTTTTTGGGCTTGAGGTTTAGGGTTTGGGGTTTAGGGTTTAAGGTTTAGGGTTTAGGGCTGTTGGGTCTAAGGTTTGGGGTTTTGGGTTTAGGGGTACCCATAGGATCCGCAGTAGTTCCTTTTCGGGAATAACTTATAGGGTCCTACATATAAACCACAAACAGGAACTACAATGGAGCCTATGGGCACCCTATTCTCTAGTTTGTGTTTTGGAGTTTCTCTTAAAATTGACTTCTCAGACAGAAAGGGAATACCCTAAACCCTAAACCCTTGTTTAAAGGGGCTTCTGGGGGAACCCAGGAGCAATCTCTCCATCGTTCGCGCCTTGGTTCAGGCCAGCGCGGATGTGAAACTTAGTAGCTGGATCAGTACACTTTACACCTTTTGGGGCAATATGATCCCTCATAGAACTAAGTGCGTAATATGATCCCTGATAGAACTGAAAGTGTCTATTTTTGGGGGCTGATGAACTCGGCAACTAAGGAACTGCCAAAGCCACATGCTCCCCTGTACTGCAATGGTCGCCGAGTGCTCGGTGGCCGAGATCTCGGAATTCTGTGCTGTAGCTCAGTTCTCAAATCTGAGGGTTTAGGGTTTAGGGTTTAGGGTTTAGGGTAACCCTTACCATAGTAGTCGATTAGGGAACCTTTTTTACCCTTAGTAGTCGAGTAGGTAACCTTTAATCTGTTTGGGGTACTACAAACCCCTACATAATCACAATATACTCCCAAAGTAGGCTTAAGCTGTATGGGTTTGTAAAATGTGGTATTGGTCTGAAAATTGGAACATTTAATTCCCTTTTGCTGTTTGTTGAGGAAGTATACCCAAAAACCGTAAGCCCATAAAACCCTATAGATCCCCAAAAGCCTGCAATACCACAAACCCGGCACCCTAAACCCTAAACCCTAAACCCTGGACCCCAAAAGCCCAAAGCCCTGCAGCCTTAAAGCAGCTTAACTCCCTCCCTCCCCCATCCCTTCTCCAAGAAAACAGCTACGCCCTCAAAAGGTAACCCTAAACCCTAAAAGCCCTCGAAAGGTAACCCTAAACCCTAAACCCTAAAAGCCCTCCAAAGGTAACACCACTCCAAATGGCAGTGCTTCAGAACAGCGTCGACTTGGCGGCCTACCTCCTCCAGGAGAAGGCGCTTGGGTTGCTCTTCAAGAGCTTGTTTTAGGGTTTCAGGGTCTAGGATTACAGGATTTAGGGCTAGGGTTTAGTTTAGGTTTAGAGTTTTCATGGATAGAATTGAAGGTAGAACTGTACTTTCCGCACATGAAACGCTAATTTCCGCAAATTGGGGGATCTTAAGAAGCAAAGAAATAAGCATCTGGGCATGTGTGTATGCATATACATATATATAGATATATACACCCACATGGATATGGAATGTTAATTCCGGGATGTCGGAAAAGGGATCCCTGGATTTCTGAAACCCAATAATGGTAAGTCAAACTAATAGGCGCCCTATCCACCCAAGCCCTAAACCCCAAACCCCAAAAAACCCTGAACCCTAAACCCAATCCCTAAACCCTAAAAAACCTGAACCCTAAACCCAAACCCCAAACCCTAAACCCTAAACCCGAAAACCCTGAATCCTCAACCCCAGCTTAGGGTCTGGGATGGGTTCAAGGTTTAGGGAACCTTGAGCCAGTGCGTAACAGCCCCTAAGGGTCCATGTACCCAAATAGTATATACTTTGGCCTTAAAGTAGTCCCTATATAGGTACTTTGGGGCCAATGTATATACTATATGAGTACATGGACCCTTAGGGCTAAACCCTA